AGATACTTGGGAGACTGAGGCAGGAAGATCATGAGTTCAAGGCTAGCCTGGGCAACTTAATGAGATCTTGTCTCAAAATATAAAGGGTCTGGGCCTGTAGCTCAGTGGTAGGAAGCTTGCCGAGGCTTCGGATTTGTTCTATCCCTGGCACCACCAAAAGGAAAAAGTGGCGGGGGAGGGGGGATGCATATGGCTTCGTGGTCACAGACAGTAAGCGATTTTATCTAATTCTTTGATCCACTGTGGCAGACATTTGCTTGGGAGAAACATGAAGGGGTTTTAGTTGTCGGTCCCTTGCGAATCTTACTGGTGGCAGCTGTTCTCTTCCCTCATTGTTTCCAGTTCTGGTAAGTAAAGATTAGGGGATTCCAGCTAGTGTTCAGCGTTGCTGAGATCCGTTTTCTGTGAATACAGGTGCACTACAGCTTCTGTTCAGCCTGCATGTCTGTCTGTATTGAGTGCCTCTTACCCATGGTATAGGAGACAAACTCACTTTGGACTGTTTTAGCATCTGTTTCTTTCCTCTATGATGCAAGCAGCTTAGGTCTTACAACAGGACCCTGTTTTCTGTCAGTCACATAGTGAGGTCTAGAGAAAGTGGACGAGCCAGCTCATGTTTCATGTGGTTCACTGGGTCCAGGTCCCTTCAGTTAGTCTAGGCTCCTGCTGGTGCTTTCTTCCCAGCAAGGCCAGTAGGCACACAGGGTTGCTACATCTGGTCGGGCCACCAGTGGCAATTTCCTTCTGACTGGGTTTTTTCTCCTCTTCCCCAGGCGAGTCCCACTTCACGGTGAACCAGCAACCCTTCCTCTACTTCCAAGTGCTGTTCCTGACTGCACAATTTGAAGCAGCCATCGCCTTTCTCTTCCGCATGGAGCGGCTACGCTGCCATGCTGTCCACGTGGCCCTGGTGCTGTTCGAGCTGAAGCTACTTTTAAAATCCTCGGGGCAGAGTGCTCAGCTCCGTGAGTATTTGGGCCTCAGTTGGCAGTGATGTGGCCAAGGCACATCCTCCCCACTGGTGACCGTGGCTGTAGAATGGCAGACAGTAAGGATGTGGTCAGAAGGTGCCAATCATTTTAGAGCATTGTAGGCACTTGGACTTTTTATACAGTGTTGTAACCCCTGGTATTCTCTAAGTGTTAAAGTGCTATGCCACATGCTAGCTTTGTGTCCAGACAAAGCCATTCCAAGAGTCATGAGTCTGGTGCCCATCAGGCTCTGGTTTTAAAGACCTTGGAAAACCTCAGCCAGCTGCCTGTCTACCTGCCTACACAAGTAGGAGAGGCAGGTGGAGAGCCAAGTAAATGTGGGTTCCTTTGTGGGGCAGCATAATCACCCCAGAGCACAAGCCATAGGAGCAGGTGTGCGAGCCTTTCCTTCAGAGGCCAGCATACTAGTCATTACTATGCCAGGCCTTTTCCTCTGCTGTCTGTGCAGATATGCAGGACAGTGTTTACAGACTGGCTAGGATCCCATTGGGAGAGGTGGGCCGAGCTGTAGAACCGTACTTCTGTGCCCGTGTACTCAAACCCAAATTCATGGGTCCTGGGTTGTGGGAACCAGAAGGACCATGAGCATGTGACCCTTTCTGTTCCCATGTGCAGTTAGCCATGAGCCTGGTGACCCTCCCTGCATACGGCGGCTGAACTTTGTGCGTCTGCTCATGCTCTACACCCGCAAGTTTGAGTCCACAGATCCTAGGGAAGCCCTCCAGTACTTCTACTTCCTCAGGTGAAGCTGCTTTTGCCCTTTTGCTGGTTGATGTCCGCATTCAGGGAATGACCCTTAAGGACCCTGAGTCCGTATCAGAAACCAACTAAGCTGCTCCTGTGCCTTTGCAGGGACGAGAAAGACAGTCAAGGGGAAAACATGTTTCTGCGCTGTGTGAGTGAGCTGGTGATAGAAAGCCGAGAGGTAGGCCAGTCTCCTTCACACCCTTGCCTGGAAACCGTTCCTGTTCTCAGCTTCCCTCTGTGTGGGTCTGGTGGAAATGGCCTGGAGGTGGACATGGGGTGGTGCTTTCTTTGGTTTCTAACAGTGAAAATGCTGGTTTCAGTCTCATTGTTTCCTGGTTTGTGTAAGATTTCTCCCACGCCCTCCATTTTCTTCCCCTCTTCCCTCTAAGGAATTGTTTAATGTTTGTTTCTTTGCCCAGTAATTGAGGCACCTATTTTTTTTCTTCACAGTTTGATATGATTCTTGGGAAACTAGAGAATGACGGAAGTAGAAAGGTGGGTTAAATGTATCCCTGAAGAAATGTTAGCTTACATTTGGGAAACGTTAATTGTCAGAAGAATAGAGTTCTGTCGAAAGACTCGGGTGCTAGAGATGTACATCTGAATAGAGATGCTTATTTTATCAAACAATGAAGTTACAGGGCCAGCAGATGGCCTTGATTTTACAGGGTATTTTCCTTTCTT